ATGGATGGATGGATGGATGGATGTTCGTATGTGCACATGAATGACAGGACAATTTTCAAGAGTAAGTTCTCTCTTTCCGATGTTGGTTCTAAGTATTGAACTCAAGACATCAAGCTTGCACTGAAAACTCTTTTACTTGCTAAGCCATGCCATTAGCAGATTGCTCACATTCTTATAATGAGAGCTAGATGAGTAACATTTGGATAACTGAACATATAGTTATGCAGAGTCAGTAGTAGAAAGTGTTCTGAAGTTAAAAAAAAAAAAAAGCAGGGCATATCTGTGATGAACAGTGCTATAGTGTCTGTGCATACTTGCCAAAGAAGTTTTCTCTAATGTAGAATGTGAAAAGACTCCAGAAAAAAATAAGGTCATGGGTTATTAGTTTAGGGAAATATTCTTGTTCCGGGAAGAGATAACAAAGGCTCTGAGACATGAACAGGGTTAGTACTGATGGGACTTGAACATTTTTCTATAATTTTGAGAAAAGATGGACAGAGAAGACATGCCAAGAACATTTAGGATAGGAGGTAGACTTAACACACATATAGTCAGGACTTAGTGCTGTCTATCCATGCCAAGCTGGCTCCTCTGAAAGTGACAGCTATTATGTGAAAGTTGATAGCTTAAGGCAATAAATAAAGTCAGGATTGTATGAACAAAGGATCTTTACATATGGTTGTCTGATAGTAACTATTAAGAAAGACTTTGCCCAGGAATACAAAGTTTCACAAGCTCACTACAAGCTTGTACACAAAGTACTTCAACATGAACATATGCCCAGCAACTGCCTTTCAACATCAATATAACATCATTCTTAGTGTCCGTTACTGTGGCCCAAGATTGTTGCTTCAAAATACTTGCTATAATCCATTTTCCCTTTATAATCTTGCCTTCTCTCAACCAGTTAATCCACTCATAGCTGAAGTAATTCATAAACTCCCATACACCACTCTGTCAGTTCCAGATAAATATTGCTAACCTTTAGACTCTAAAATTTCAAGGATACCTTTTTGATTCTTCTGTATTTTAGGATACAAACTACAATAAGAAAAGTTGAGACTCAGTGGGGACTTCAAGTGCTCTGGAATGAACGGAAATGGAAACTTGGATTGTAGCTCTCCTTGCCATCGCAGCTTAGACAGAATACAGCACATGGTCAAATCAATCTCTAAGCAATGTATGCTAGCTCTGTATGTACTGGAGAAGAGAGAGAAGGTGCATGAAAAAAAAAAGGTCAAATCATACCAGATAAATAAACAAATCTTAGCTATAGAGCTACCTAAAATGTTTTCTGGAAGGAGGCAAGAAATTCATCCATCAATTACAGCTCCCCATTTATTATGAAATGTTATTGTAAGAAAGCAAAACTAGGATTACCTTGCACATGCAGAAATGATTAAACACATCACTAGAAGGATTGCCTGAAAGGAGATCTTATGCATCAAGCCAGCTCCTGAAGGAAGAAGAAATCAATCATAGATCATTGCTAATTAAATAACCCTGGAAAACACATTTCTGTTAAACCTGTTTCATAGTTTTCAGATGCATGTCATTTTAAACAATCAATCATCAATAACAAAATAAAAATCATGTCAAATGTGGCTGGAACAATGGCTCAATGGTTAAGTGCGTGCCCAGTACCTACATGGTAGCTCACAACTTTAGTTTTAGGGGATCTGATGCCATCTTCTGGCTTTGATGGGCTCCTGCACACACATGCTACCTATAAACTCATGCAGACATATACACCTATGCATAAATTTTGAATATAGTTTTTAAAAAATCATGCCACATTATATGGATCCATTGACTAGAAAACTCTATAGTCAATGAGAGAAACTCTATATGAGAGAAAACTCTATAGTCAACAACATTTCCTCTCTCACATCAAAACATGAGATTATGCAACTCAAAATGTTTCAGACTTGATGTTTGCTTTGAAATTGGAAGAAGCCCTTGTAGAATTTATGCTAAAATAAGAACACTAAAAATATGATGATGATTATGACTGTGTCAACCACAATAATAAAAGTATCCATCCTTTGTGAAATGTTTTATAAATCACAAATACTTTTGATACATTAGCTTATTTAATTAGCCCCAAACCATGAAAGGTAGGGAGCATAATCTCAGTTTTGCAAATGAGTAGACCAAGGCTGAGAGACATGATGCAATAGTTCAAGATCAAACAGCTATGAGGTGCCAGAGCCAAGATTTAAAAACCACATCTAGACAGGACATAATGTTATGTCTGAAATGAGGCATGGAAAGACAATTGCAACTTTGCATACAGGAAATCTCTAAAGACCAAGGAGGAAAAAAATATATGTATTATGAAGTATTTATCCTTTCAAAATTTGGTAACAATTTCAATGGTGTCACATCATGGTAGAAAGAAGTTTGAAGCTCCCAGAAGTTATAATTAGGAGAATCATGAAAATCATGACCTTGAGTCTCAGACTAATCACCCCTAAGAAATCAGAGTTGACTTAAGGATGAACACGTGAGGACTTAAAAATATATCTATGAATAGATCTCAACTTAATTTCCCCCAAATGCTACAGAAGCTTAACTTTGCAACAGTTGTCTAAAACTCAGAAAGACTTTATACTGTGAATGTTTTTATTTTTGTGATTTATGCTGAAAATGAACACAGAGTTAGCTATAAATCTCACTGAGCCTCTAGTGTGGGTGGAATCCTGAAGTCTGACAAGTCAAACTGGAGCAATATTAAATTACGTCACTCAGAATGTGGAGGATTTATGTATACTGTGAATTAAATAAATTATTGCAGGTTCAGTGGAATGTTAGCCATTCATCTAAAGTGTGTTTACATTCTCCATCTCTTCTGATTTCATGTGCAATTAAGGAAAATAAACCCAGCTTGAGACACAACAAATATCACTGGCTATGCACACTGAAGGGTGAGTGTATATACCCTTGAATACAACAAAGAGATGCGCTCTGTGACTTTGAACCTGTTGTTCATTGCTTTGTCAGTGACCATTGACTTGGCACTTATTTTGACTTAGCTCATCAGGAACTTTATTTCAATCAGGCTTTTATTCCTCTCATTCTGCCCTCCTTTACATGTCCTCTCTCTCTCTCTCTCTCTCTCTCTCTCTCTCTCTCTCTCTCTCTCCCATCCCATCCCATTTTAGCACCTTCTATTTTCTTTAACATTTTTCACATTTACGTTTTCTTTCTCTCTTCCTCATCCCACCCCATTCCCCCCACCTCCAAAAAAATCTGCACCTACACATTGCTGAGTACAGCGGACATCTATTTACTAGTTTTGAAGGCAATACTATGTTCTTGGTGGGAATCCCTTTTCCTGCTAGAGAGTGAAACAGCTGGGTTCTTCTACTTTTTATCCCAGCATTTAACCTATTCAAAGCCTTTTGGAAACTCTCATACCTATCAATGAAGTAATTGTTTTTGCCATGAAAATGGAATCCTCCCAGAATAGAAGTAACAATTCTAAGTCTCATATCATAATTCTAAACGAACAAAATATCTTCTGATGGACTGGAGATCTGAAGGATGTGTGTTGAAAGAGCCTCCAGGAGCTACCATGGGTAGCTGAAAAACAGCACCAACACAGAAGAGATGGTAAGGGGGCAAAGACTGGAAAAATGCTAAGCTTTCTGTTTGGAATTATGATTTACATAAGTCAGTAAATTCTATCACTGTAACTCAGGCCTGGAACTCAAAAGCCTTAATTTATACAAAAAATGGCATGCAGGCCAGTGTTATTCGAATCTGCTGTGTCATCGGGAACAGATTGCTCACTCGTGTCCTATACATGGGGAAAAAGAAATGATAGAGATGGCCAAGCATGTCAGATCTCAGTGACAAGGAAAATAAAAATTCTCAGTGAAGTTATACATGCAGAGTACACTGGAACAAGGGGAGAATAATTTACTTCAGCCACCAAGCAGGAGGGGACCAAGAAGGTCCATCAAAGATAATCTCATTTCAAGTGGGTCTTGAAGAAAAGTAGGAGCAATCCAGGTACAACAGATAGGACAGACATCCCAGTTGCAACTAGAGCATACACTTGTCACAGTCACATTCTCTACAATAAGTGTACAAGTCTTACTTCATCTATAGAATGTTGGTATTCTTACATGTAAAGTAAGCGTACACACTTATGAATTCATTCACTACAGTCAGGGAGAATTTGTTCTACCCAGTCACTGTATGGTCAATTTGGGATCCAAGGATGACCATGACCTTAGGTTCAGAGATGGATGAGAAACAAAGGCAATCATGCAACAGTGGTGTAGCTCATGGGCATAAGAGAGAAGAGTTCTGGGAACCAGAACATAGAAGCCTAGGTTCCCTGGAAGAGGCGGCTGCTGAGATTCAGTAGGTATTTACTGATAGCCCGGTGGTCGTCTACTCAATCAAAGCTAGCTTTTCTGTTATTGAAACACCTACACAGGGAACTTACATACTCTTTAGCACTTGCTGAACAGCTGCAGTAAGAATATATTGTGCAGGGCACATGAGTACGTCTTTGGAGGGATGATCACTGGGACACTATCCATTCATGGTTTTTAGAGGCAAGTAAAGAACGGATTATTTCACTCAATCTCTGCCTCCTACAGTGATAACCTCAAATCTATTGAGTATTCATGAGGACAGGACACAGTATACAATCTTCTAGGCTGTTTTCCTTGCAAAGCAAAAAAATAGGATCATCTTTCTGAACAAATTCAAGGTTAAATTTTAGAGTTTGGCCTAGTACATTTTTTTCCTGTGGCTGCATCTAGCACTGTAGATTACAGGTGTGGCTCTGAAATGTGAAATCTCTGCAAGTTTAGCAGAACCAGCTCAGCTCTCCTCCCCTAGATGTGAGACATCATGAAAATGTCATTAATCTGCTGCTGATCAACCAGAGTCATCAGCACACTGGTGAGCTTCTTTCATTACTCATGCTAGGAAATACTAGGAGCTGAACAGTGTTTTCCTTCCTGAGGCATAGCACTAACAGATGTGTGTGTGTGGGGGGGTTGTTGTTGTTGTTATTGTTGTTGTTTTGTTTTGTCATTTTTGTTTTTTGTCTTTTCTTTTCTTCATTTTTTTAGAGTATGTCAAACACACAGCTAATGATCAAGAGGTAAATAATAGAGACCTGCCATCCTTCCCTTCAGCTTTATCAAAACCTAATGCTTATCAGGCATCAAGATTCTTGAAAAAAACACTGTAAACTCGGAGGTGCTGAGGACTTCATCACTATACTCAAAGGCAGTTGCCCTCTCCATATCGTCTGGACACTAGCAGGAGCCCAGGTCCTCCCTTCCTCAAGCAGATTGATACAAATTCTTAAGTGCACATTAGTCATTGCTACATCATTCTTAGGTGGCAAGAAGGAAGAATTGTTTGGGTGTGGCAAAGATTTAAAAGGACTCACTTGAATGCACCAAACTGTTCTTTTCGAAGTGCCCTGATGCTTTCATCTGAAGCTGAGGAGAAGAACTCTGGGAGCTTTCTCTGAG